CAACCCCCAAATTCCGGACCCCAAAAACCCCGATCCCCAAAATCCCGATCCCCAAAATCCCGATCCCCAAAATCCCGATCCCCACCACTCCCCCGTGGGAATCCCCCAGGAATTGGGAGCAAATCCCAAAAATCCTTTATTGGCAGTGGGGGGGACTGCGACGTTCCAGGGGGGGCCGGGGGATCCCCCTGGGGAATCTGGGGAGCACAAAGAGACCTCCCGGGGCTGGGAACAGCGGGATCCCAACGGATCCCAACGGATCCCAACGGATCCCCAGGGATCTGCCCCTGACGGGGGGGCTCGGGGGGCTCCTCTGTGTGAGTGGGCAGCTGGATCTGGGATCCGCACCTGGAGCAGAGCCGGAATCAGATCCCGGGATCTGCACTGGGAGCAGGACCAATCAGATCCCGGGATCTGGGATCTGCACTGGGAGCAGGACCAATCAGATCCCGGGATCTGCACTGGGAGCAGGACCAATCAGATCCCGGGATCTGGGATCTGCACTGGGACCAGGACCAATCAGATCCCGGGATCTGGGATCTGCACCGGGAGCAGTCGGGGGCAGGTGGGATCCCCTGACCCCAGATCCCACAGGAGCAGGTGGGATCCCCCTGACCCAGATCCCAGAGGAGATCCCCCTGCTCCAGAGCCCCCTTAGGATGAGAGAGGGATCCCTGCTCCAGGATTCTGCTGGAATTCCCTTCCCGAGGGAGGTGCAGGTGGGATCCCCTGACCAGATCCCTCAGGGGGAGTAGGTGGCACCCTCTGATCCCAGATCCCACAGGAGCCACAGGAGGGATCCCCTGATCTGGATCCCAGATCCCACAGGTGGGGATCCCCTGATCCCAGGTCCCACAGGAGGGATCCCCTGATCCCAGAGGAGCCGCAGGTGGGGATCCTTAGATCCCACAGATGGGATCCCCTGATCCCAGATCCCACGGAAGGAGCAGGTGGGATCCCCCGATCCAGATTCCAGATCCCGAGGAGCTGCAGGTGGGATCCCCTGATCCCGGATCCCACAGGTGGGATCCCCTGACCCCAGATCCCATGGAGGGATTCCCCTGATCCCAGAGGAGCTGCAGGTGGGGATCCCCTGATCCCAGAAATGGGATCCCCTGACCCCAGATCCCACGGGATCCGCAGATGGGATCCCCCCGCCCCTCCCCCAGCCCCAGGTGAGATCCCGGCGGGAAAAGCGGAGCCGGAGCGGGAGGAGAGCGAAGCCAAAACTCTTGAAACGCTCGGACCGGGGGCGGGGGAGGGGCTGGGATTTGGGGTCCGGGATGGACGGAGGGAGCCGGGGGTGGGATGGGGATCACGGGGGATCGGGGGGATCACGGGGATCACGGGGATCAGTGCAGCCGAGGGCAGGAGCCATAAAGTGCAGCGAAGCTCCCCGGAGCTCCCGGCGGCTCCGGGGTTCCCGGGGGGCTCCAGGTCCAGGGGGGATGTGGGGACACCCCGGCACCGGCGGGGAGGGGACACACGGGAGCGGCGGCACCGGGACACGGCCGGGTCCCTTCCCGGGTCCTTTCCCGGTTCCGTTCCGGGTCCTTTCCCGGTTCTGTTCCGGGTCCTTTCCCGGTTCAATTCCCAGTTCCTTTCCCGGTTCCGTTCCCAGGTCCGTTCCCGGATCCATTCCCAGTTCCAATGCTGGTTTGGTTGCCAGTCCTGCTTCCATTCCCGGTTCCTTTCCCGGTCCTGGTGCCGTTCCCGGTTCCTTTCCCAGTCCTGCTTCCATTCCCGGTTCCTTTCCCAGTCCTGGTGCCGTTCCCGGTTCCTTTCCCGGTGCTGGTGCCGTTCCCGGTTCTGTTCCCGCTCCCGGTTCCGTTCCCAGTCCATTTCCAGTCCCATTGCTGGTTCCGTTCCCGGTGTCCGGGATCCCGTTGGGAATCTCACATGCACATCACCTGCAGCCTGCAGCCAGGGGCACCAGGGTCACCTTCCTCACCTTCACCTTCCTCACCTTCACCTTCCTCACCTTCACCTTCCTCACCTTCACCTTCCTCACCTTCACCTTCCTCACCTTCACCTTCCTCACCTTCACCTTCCTCACCTTCACCTTCCTCACCTTCACCTTCCTCACCTTCACCTTCCTCACCTTCACCTTCCTCACCTTCACCTTCCTCACCTTCACCTTCCTCACCTTCACCTTCCTCACCTTCACCTTCCTCACCTTCATCTTCCTCACCTTCACCTTCCTCACCTTCACCTTCCTCACCTTCATCTTCCTCACCTTCACCTTCCTCACCTTCACGTTCCTCACCTTCATCTTCCTCATCTTGCTCACCTGTCCCTCACCTTCCTCATCTTCACCTTCCTCACCTTCACCATCCTCACCTTCACCATCCTCACCTTCACCTTCCTCACCTTCATCTTCCTCATCTTCCTCATCTTCCTCACCTGTCCCTCACCTTCCTCACCTTCATCTTCCTCACCTTCATCTTCCTCACCTTCCTCACCTGCTCCACCTTCCTCACCTTTATCTTCCTCATCTTCCTCACCTTCATCTTCCTCAACTTCCTCACCTGTTCCTCACCTTCCTCACCTTCACCTTCCTCACCTTCATCTTCCTCACCTTCACCTTCCTCACCTTCATCTTGCTCACCTTCCTCATCTCCCTCATCTGCTCCACCTTCCTCGCCTTCCTCTCCCTCACCTTCATCTTCCTCATCTCGCTCATCTTCCTCACCTGTCCCTCACCTTCCTCTCCTCCCTCACCTGTGACCCCGCCCCGCCTGTGCCCACCTGTCCCCCTCGATGGCCCCTGTGTCCCCTGTCCCCCCCATCCCCACCTGTCCCCCTCAATGTCCCCAGTGTCCCCACCTGTCCCCCTCGATGGCCCCGCCCCCCTGTCCCTCCATCCCCACCTGTCCCCCTCGATGTCCCCAGTGTCCCCACCTGTCCCCCTGTCCCTCCATCCCCACCTGTCCCCAGGGATGGCCCCGCCCCTGTCCCCACCTGTCCCCAGGGATGGCCCCGCCCCTGTCCCCACCTGTCCCCAGGGATGGCCCCGCCCCTGTCCCCACCTGTCCCCAGGGATGGCCCCTCCCTCGGTGTCACCGCTGTCACCCCTCTCGGTGTCCCCCTCCCCCAGGTCCATGTCCAGCTCGTTGCCGGTGTCCGGGCGCGTGTACGCGTAACCGCTGCGGGAACGGAGACACGGAGACACGGGCTCAGCGCCGGGATCCCGGGAATGCCTCGGGAACAGGGCTGGAACCCCGGGAATGCCTCGGGAACGGGGCTGGAATCCTCTCCGGAACGGGGCTGGAATTCTGGGAGTTCCCTCAGGAATGGGGCTGGAATTCCAGGGGAACCCCTTGGGAATTCCCTTGTGAAGGGGGCTGGAATTCTGGGAATCCCCTTGGGAATGGGCCCCGAATTCTGGGAATGCCTCAGGAATGGGGCTGGAATTCCGGGAATGCCTCGGGAATGGAATCAGAATTCCAGGAATCAATTGCGAACGCCCCCGGAATTGCAGGATTCCCCGGGAACAGCCCCGGAATTCCGGGATTCCCTCAGGAACAGCCCCGGAATTCCGGGATTCCCCGGGAACAGCCCCGGAATTCCGGGATTCCCCGGGAACAGCCGCCCCTCACCTGATGGAGCGGCAGGTGAAGAAGACGATCCGCTTGAGCCGCTTGTTGTAGAAGAAATAATTGAAGGACCAGAGGCTCCCGTCCTCTCCAAAGGGATCCGAGTCCAGGTCGGGATTGTAGCTGGGAAAAACAACGGGAAAAACGGGAAAAATGGGAAAAATGGGAAAAACAACGGGAAAAATGGGAAAAATGGGAAAAATGGGAAAAACAACGGGAAAAACGGGAAAAATGGGAAAAACAATGGGAAAAACGGGAAAAACAACAGGAAAAACAGGAAAAACAACGGGAAAAACGACGGGAAAAATGGGAAAAACAACGGGAAAAACAGGAAAAACGACGGGAAAAACGACGGGAAAAATGGGAAAAACAATGGGAAAAACGGGAAAAACGGGAAAAATGGGAAAAATGGGAAAATGGGAAAAACAACAGGAAAAATGGGAAAAACAACGGGAAAAATGGGAAAAATGGGAAAAATGGGAAAAACAATGGGAAAAATGGGAAAAACAACGGGAAAAACGGGGAAAACGACGGGAAAAATGGGAAAAACAACAGGAAAAAACAATGGGAAAAACAGGAAAAACGGGAAAAACGACAGAAAAAATGGGAAAAACAACGGGAAAAATGGGAAAAATGGGGAAAGCAGGAAAAACAGGAAAAATGGGAAAAACGGGGAAAGCGGGAAAAATGGGAAAAATGGGAAAAATGGGAAAAACAATGGGAAAAACAGAAAAAATGGGAAAAATGGGGAAAGCGGGAAAAACAGGAAAAATGGGAAAAACGGGGAAAGCGGGAAAAATGGGAAAGGTGGGAAAAACGGGAAAAATGAGAAATATGGGAAAGGTGGGAATCCCCCAGGAAAAGCGGGAATTCCCTGAAAGGGTGGGGATCCCTCAGGAAACCCGGGAATTCCCCAGGAAAAGCTGGAATTCCTGGGGAAAGACAAAATTGCCAGGAACAGCCGGAATTCCCGGGAAAATCGGGAATTTCCTGGGAAAAGCCGGGATCCCCCAGGAAAATTGGGAATTGCCAGGAAAAGCGGGAATTCCCTTGGAAAATCGGGAATGCCGGTACCTGTAGATGTCACACTCGGCCAGGCTGATCTCCTCGTCCACCGCGTCCCACAGCAGCGGCCGCAGAGCCTTGAAATCCTCGCGCACGGCAGAGAACAGGCTGCAGTTCACCGCGTTCACCACCTGAAACAACAGCCGGAAACAACCGGAAACGGGAGTGAGGGACACGGGAAACAACCGGGCTGCAGTTCACCGCGTTCACCACCTGAAACAACAGCCGGAAACAACCGGAAACGGGAGTGAGCGACACGGGAAACAACCGGGCTGCAGTTCACCGCGTTCACCACCTGAAACAACAGCCGGAAACAACAACCGGCAATGGGGGACACGGGAAACAACCGGGAATCACCGCGTTCACCACCTGCACCGGAAAGAACAACCGGAAATGGGAATGAGGAACATGGGAAACAACCGGGAATCATGGAATGGGGGAAACAACCGGGAATCACGACGTTCACCACCTGCCCCGGGAAACAACAACCGGAAACAACCGGGAATGGGGGTACAGGAAACAACCGGGAATCATGGCGTTCACCACCTGCCCCGGGAAACAACCGGAAATGGGAACGTGGGAATGGGGGAAACGACCGGGAATCACGGAATGGGGATACTGGAAACGACCGGGAATCACGGAATGGGGATACTGGAAATGACCGGGAATCACGGAATGGGGATACTGGAAATGACCGGGAATCACGGAATGGGGATACTGGAAATGACCGGGAATCACGGAATGGGGATACTGGAAACGACCGGGAATCACGGAATGGGGATACTGGAAATGACCGGGAATCACGGCGTTCACCACCTGCACCGGGAAACAACAACCGGGAATGACGGAACAGGGACACGGGAAACAACTGGGAATGACTGAATGAGGGAAACAACCGGGAATCACTGCGTTCACCACCTGCCCCACAAAACCACCAGGAATGATGGAACAGGGATACGGGAACCGGGAATGACGCAATGGGGGAAACAACCGGGAATGACCCAGGGAGGGACACGGGAAACAACCGGGAATGACCCAGGGAGGGACACGGGAAACAACCGGGAATGACCCAGGGAGGGACACGGGAAACAACCGGGAATGACCCAGGAAACAACCGGGAATGACGGCTTCACCACCTGCCCCGGGAAACGGGAACCAGGAATGACGGAGTGAGGGAACGGGAACGGGAACGGGAATGGGAATGGGAACGGGAATGGGAACGGGAACGGGAACGGGAATGGGAACGGGAATGGGAATGGGAACGGGAATGGGAACGGGAACGGGAATGGGAA